ATCTTTCTCCCGCGGAGCAGCTGGTAGTTTCGAACCGCTGACCTTAAGGTTCGCAGCCCGATTCGTAACCACTACGCTACCAGAGCTCCTTACGGATGGGCTTTATAGCAAAGCTCTGCTCTGCTGCATTTTTTCTGGATCTGGATTTTGCATCTGGCTTGTTACCTGACCTCTAGTTTTTTTGGATTTGAGTTTGCTGTACTACCTATTGAAGCTGGTTGTCATTAGCTTCTGAAGTCTGTAAAGTGGTCGCCTGCCATCTTGCCAGCCTCAGAAACCCTATAGAGCAGTTCTACCCTGTCCTAGGTGTCTTGGTGTGGCTCTGTGGGTTAATGCACTGGTCTGCAAAGTCTCTTTGAACTGCAAGGTCGGCAGTTCAAGCTCACCAGCTGCTCCTTGGAAACCCTATACAGGGTCACTATGGGTCAGAATTGACTGGAAGGCACTTAATAACAACAACAACCCTATCCTATAGGATTACTATGAGTTTAATCGACTCAGAGGAAATGGCTTTGACTGGTAAAATGAATTCCTTGATGTGGCCTTTTGCCTTAGTTCTTTGGAAAAACTGTTTGAAATATATAGTTCCCCCCTCCCCCTTTGCCCTAATTCTCTACCCCAGAGGGCTGGTTACTTTTGTTCAGGTTGGTAGACATTTCCTGGGTAAACTGTAAACAATTTTACTTTTGATATTGTTTTGTCTGGTTCTAGACTGTAACCTGCCTTGTAACTGGTACGCACCTTGTAGGATTTGGTCCATAGACTGTGCAAATGAAGTATCAGTAGTCTAGTATGCAAATGAAGTGTTTGTGGCCTACCAAGATGTGATTGGTCAGTTTGTGCCCCACCCCCTGGGAGAGGCCATGCCTTGAAATGAATAAGAAGTTGTATATATAAGCAGTCAGGCACCATAGAGGTTTTTGAGACAGAAAGAAGCAGGAAGTAGAAAGAAGAAAGAAGAGAGAAGCAGAGAGAAACAAGAGGCAAGGAACCTCCTAAAAGAGCTGTAACCCTAAAGACAGAGAAACCCAGAATTAGCACTGTGACAGACTCAATGAGCTAAGTGGAGCTTGACCTCAAGGGGCCTGAAATGAAGAAGGGAGGCATTGACTAAATGCTTCCTGATTCCAATCCTGAGTTGTTGTACCTTGCTCCTCAGTGAACTACTTTACTGTAAATATGATCTGTCTGTTCTACATGGCCATTGTAACAAATGAACCAACCCAGAAGCAGAGAGTGTGGTGGGAGGAATGGCTGGTGTCAGAACTGATAAAAGATTGGAGGTAGAGGTTTGTCTGACCTTCACCTCAAAGAAATCACCTTTGGACTATTCCTGGTCACTATTGCCCCTGAAGTTAGACAGGTTCTGACACTACCGCTGCTTCCACTAGTCCTATTTTATGGTTTGATATGGGTTTGGGTGTATCATTACGTTGTTCTTACTCCATTGAAGTTGGAAGAGGATTTAAAAAATCCAAAACCCAGGATGGCTAGGATATGAGAAGCACAATTACTCTCATTTCCATAGGATTCTCTCAGTCATGGGAGTTTCCAGATTAACCATTTCATTGTCCTGGTGAGAGAGACTCCCCTTCACCTGATAGGTTGGTTGTCCGGACCCACATCTGTAAAGCCCATTTTCTTCAGTCTGTAGGACCGGTAGCTCTCATAGTGCCGCGTGTGGGTCTGCTCTTTCAGGTCCTCCATGTTAGTACACAGCAGCAGGTCTCGCAGCTTCACAAAATCACAGTGGCTTTCATTTTCCACTAGACAGAAACACAAACAAGCAGCAGCTGCCATTACAAATGCCTGGCACTCAGTAAAACTCGTGAATTGAATAAACTCATGAAAGACACATTTAAAATAGCAAACAGCTAAGTAACCAATCTGATATTGTTGTTGTTGTTAAGTGTTATCAAGTCAGTTCCAACTCATAGTGACCCTGTATGGGGTTTCTGAGGAGCAGCTGGTGTGTTTGAACTGTCGACCTTGCAGTTAGCAATCCTCTGCTTGTCGTACAGCTCAAGGTCTGTTTGAACCACAAGACTGGTGGTTCAGACTCACCAGTTGCTCCTTGGAAACCCTGTACAGGGTCTCTATGAATCAGAACCGACTCAGTGGCACTTCACAACAATTCCCATACATTGGAGTCCTGGTGTGATGCTATAGAGTAAACACTAGACCACAAGGGTGATTTGAACTGTAAGGATGGTGGTTCAAAATTTTTTCATTTCAAATATGTTAATTTTTTGAATAACAGTATTTAGAAATCAGCGTAACCCCAAAGCAAACCCAGTGCCATCGAGTAGATTCTGACTTACAGAGAACATGCAGGACAGAACAAAACTGATCCATAAGGTTTCCGAACAGTAGTTTACCAGCTGCTCCTCAGAAACCCCATACAGGGTCACTGTGAGTCAGAGCAGACTCAATGGCACTAAACAACAACAACAATTCCCACGCATTAGAATCCTAGTGTGGCGCTGTAGGATAAGCATTGTACCACAAGGTCAGTGGTTCAAAGCTCACCAGTCTGTAGGATAAGCACTGGACTGCGATCTACAAGGTCAGTAGTTCAAACCCACCTAGCCACTCCTCAGAAACTATATAAGATCTCTATGAGTCTAAACCAACTTCACAGCACTTAACAACTATTCCCATGAAAGCTGAAAAACTCCCAGAATCCTTTTTTCAAGGAGATAGGGCTTTGAGAATGATCTCCCCATCTCCTTACTTCTTACAAGTAATAAAACGTTGCTGTGCTTAAATCTGTATAACTTTTAAGTTATTCTTAACTTGAGAGCAGGCAATGAACCCATTGAGTTTGCCAGCAGAAATGCCCCATAGGATTTCCAAGACTTCACATCTTTACCCATGTCTGCGTTCGAACCACAGAGCTTTTGGTTAGCAGCCAAATACTTAACCACTGCATCACCAGGGATCCTTAGATTTATTTAAGGGTCAGGAAATGTGCTTTAAATTTATTAAGTCAATGAATAAATAGAAACTGGCTGAGTCACTCATTGAGCCCTGGTGGAGCTATAGGATAAGCAGTACAGGATTGGCAGTACAAACCCATCAGGCGTTCTGCTCCCGTAAAGATTTACCGACTTGGAAACCCAATACAGGGTCCTATGAGTCAGAATTGACTTGGTGGCATATGGGTTTGGTTTGGTTTTTGATTTATAGGTTTTCTTTAGTATTTTTCATTTTAATTAGCATTTTACAAGTTATCCTCAAGATAGTTCATACAGCGCTAACAAAGCATGTTGTAATTTCATCAAAGCAAGTTCTGTGAATATATAGTCTTTTACAACTATGCATGCTCTGCTTACCAAATTCTAGTTGTACAGTACCATCTTTGAGTCTGCTCTAGGCGATATTCAAAATCAACCAATAAATTCACATGACTCTATGCTATGTTTGCCATGTCCAGAAGACAAAACACAATATATGCTGACCAAATTCTATAAAGGGTATGATTCATAAAATGCTACGTTTTAAGTGTTGTTCAAAAAATTTTCGTTTCTAATATGTTAATTTTTAAAATAACAACATTTAGAAAATCAGAGCAACCCCAAACCAAACCCAGTGCCATCAAATTGAATCTGATTTATAGGGACCCTACAAGATGGAGAAAGGAGCTCTGGTAGCGTAGTGTTTATGAATTGGGCTGTGAACCAC